GAGAGAGAGAGAGAGAGAGAAAGAGAGAAGCAAGGAAGCAAGGTTTGCTGTAGTTTGGAAAAGTGGGGCAATTCTGTGATTGGATGTTTTGTGGGGGCCTATGTTTAATCTGTGTCTTATCATGGTCTCAGTGACCGCATTAGATACAGATGTTCTTTGAGATGCTTTGTGCCCACCAGGAGAACAATATGGTTTCACCATGAGTGTCACTGAGGTCTAGCATCAGTGTCAGCTTGGCTATAGACACATCAAGGCAGCTGTTCTTCTGAGGGTTGGGAACTGAGTGGATAGGCCTGGAACACTCGGTCTGTGTATGAAATATTCAGACAGTTGTCAGAACTGAAGTTAGTCTACTGTGTCTAAAGGGGCTTGTTTTTTTGAAACCCACAAGTCAGCATATGACTGAAGGACCCTAGAGATGGTGTTTATACCTGACAACCACATACCTTATGAGGGCTCATCAAGCACTGTTTTTCTGTTGAGTGGAGGAACCCTAACTACACACAGTCATCATCAGTTCATTCATTCAGTAGCCCTTCTCAGAACCTAGTTCTGCACCAGATCCCATGGGGGGTGGGGATGAACAGAAAAAGGCTGTTGTTTTTGGATGCTGCTGTTGACAGACCAACATAAGATGTACAGGGTCTTATTGATAGAAATTGCCAACACTTACTAGCTATGTGGTGCTGGGGGAGAATGCTTAGTCTCTCCGAGCATTGCTTATCTTATCTGTGAAATATTACTACTTAAATTCAGAGGGTGAAACAAGATAATTTGTATAAGCACTTCACTTCTGGCACATCAGTTCTCAGTAAATGGTAACTACATAATTTATTGTATAGATCAAGTGCTGAGCTAATTTCAGGATATGAGTGGGGTTGCAGACTAGGTAAGAGTTCATGGGCGTGGACCTGAAACTGGACCTGGGGAGGAGTCCAGAAAGTACTTCGGAGTTCACATGAAGCTAGTCCCTTAAGGATGGAAATGGTTGGGCTTTTAGAGATGGAGGTGAAGTATGTGATAGCACCATGTAGGTCTGCACAGGAGAATGGACAGAATGACCCAGCAGAGTCAAGTGAGGAGTGACTGCAGGCCTGGGGAGAGGAGGCTGGAATGGCAGGGCAGGGCTGGGTGTGACCACCAGGGGAAGGAATTTAAGGGCTATTTGAGAAGTGGGGATCAGGGAGTCCCTGGCAATTTTTAGGAGGGGAACATGTGGTAAGGTGCATTTTGGAATGTAGTTAGAAACTACCAGCTGTTCCGCAGGAAAACGATGACACTTTCTACTCCTGTAAAGATTTACAGCCTTGGAAACCCTGTGCAGGTTTGCTATGTGTCAGAACCAACTCCACAGCGCACAATCACCACCAAACACCCTGGTCAGAGGGTGAAGGGATTTTGGGGAAAAGTGAATATTTGCAAGCAGACCAACTAGGAGACATTGAGATAGATAGATGATAGGTGATGAATAGATTAAGTAGGTAGGTAGGTAGATGATAGATGATAAAGAGAGATAGATGGATGAATAATAGATGGATGATGTTGTTGGTACTGTCAAGTTGGTTCTGGTTCATAGTGATCCTGTGTAGAGTTTCCAAGAAGCAGCTGGTAGGTTTGATCCACTGACCTTGGTTAACAGTCCAGTGCTTATCCTGAAGCATCACACCAGGACTCCAATAGATGGATAGATACGATAAAGATAGGCATATAGAGATATAGCTACATATAGGTGTGGTGCTGTAGGATCAGCACTAGACTGCCAACCGAAAGATTGGGAGTTTGAACCCACCAGTTGCTTCTTGGGAATCCTATATAGGGTCACTATGAGTCTGAACTGACTCCAAGGCACTTAACAACATAGATATATAGATAGACAGACAGATAGATAGATAGTTAGATATGATAGAGATAGGTAGGTAGTGAGGGAGGGAGGGAGGGAGATAGGCAGGTGGGGTGTGGAGGTAAGTAGGCAGGTAGATAGGTAGGTAGATAGGTGAATGAGAAGCAGTCTGACCCTGACGGAAGACCAGAAGGAACTTCCTTGCTTTACGTGATCTGGATGTTCAGCACTGAGTCACTGCTGAATGAAGAATTCTGAGTTTTGTTTTCAATGACAAGCGACTCATGGACATTGTGCCTTTGGTTTTTATGTATTTCCATCTTTTCCATCAAGGCTTGGGATGCAGGGGGTGGTCTTGCTGCACGGTAGCAGACAGAGCATTGGCTCCATGTCCCATGCTTCAGTTTCCTCTGTGTTCTAGGAGGAAGTAGGAAGCTCACTGTTACTGCATATCTCATGTTTGGTTGCAGATCCAAGACATTGTCCGGAGCAGGCAGCTGCTGACCATCTTCCGGGAGGGCAAAGACGGGCAACAGGATGTGGACGTGGCCATTCTGCAGGCGCTACTGAAGGGTGAGGGCAGGGAAGTGGTGGGGAAGGGACTCAAGGAAAGGGGTTGGGTCCTACTGGAGGGTGGGGGCAACTGGGGAAGAATGGTAGGTAAGAGGGGGCTCATGCCTAGTTTAGAGGTGTTGCAATTTGGGGAGACAAAAGCATAGCTCTTTGGGTTTTTTTTTGTGTGTGCAAATTCCTGGTCAGTAGATGGCTGGTACTAGACACACCAGGGCCTGTCTCCTCTCCTATTGGGCAGCCAGGAATCTCCTGTGCACATGCTGCTTCTTCAGCGCATCTCTTTGACTCAAATAATGTGTTGTTGTTATCTACCATCGAGTGGGGCCCCCAACTCAGGACAACTCCATGCACAATGGTACACCATTACCATGATCAGTTGCAGTTTGGACCACTGGGATCTATAGAGTTTCCATTGGTTGATTTTTTGGAAGTAGATTGCCAGACTTTTCTTCCTAGTCCATCTTGGTCTAGAAGCTCTACTGGGAAACCTGTTCAACATCATTGCTGTTGTTAGGTGCCATCAAGTAGATGCCAACTCATAGCAACCCTATGCAGTGTCAGTCCATTCCTCTTTTCTCGCTGATCCTCCACTTTACCAAATCCTTCTCCAGGGACTGGTCCCTCCTGATAATATGTCTTAAGTATGAGAGATGAAGTCTTGAAATCCTGGCTTCTAAGGAGCATTCTGGTTGTACTACTGGCTGTACAACACAGATTGGCTTGTTCAGCATCATAACAACACACAAGCCTCCACTGATAAACAAGAGGTGGATGTGATGAGGTGCACTGGGTGGGAATCAAACCCAACCTCCTGTGTGGAAGATGAGAACTCTACCATTAATTAAAGTACCAATGCCCTGCTGCCTTCATATTTTCTTACAGATATCTTTGAATAACAACATTTTAAATTTTAACTAAGTTTAATTCATCATTTTTTTTCTTCTATGGCTTATATATTTTTTGTTTTATCTAAGCAAACCTTGCCCACTCCAAAGTTGCAAATATTTTCTTCTAGGTCTTACTGTAGTGGCTTTATTGACATAACGTTTACATTTAGATGTATGAGAGGGCTTCAGAAAGTTTGTGGGAAAAGGGAATTAAAAGATAATGGAATTTTTCCATGAACTTTTTTTTGAAGCCTGCTTGTAGTATCCCCTTAGATTAATTTTCGTATGGTGTGAGGTTGTGGTTGTTAAGTGCCAATGAGTTGGTTCCAACCCATAGCGACCCTGTGTAGGGTTTCTGAGGAGCCAGCTGGTGAGCTTGAACCGCTGACCTTGTGGTCAAAGCCACTTTACAGTCCAGCACATTAACCCGCAATGCCACACCAGCACTCCTGGTGTGAGGCAAGGGTCAAAATTCTTTTGCTTTGTTTTTTTCCAACCCTAAATAATAACCCATGTTTTAGAGCATTAAACTGGAGAGAGGAAGCAAAAACTATGTGGGAAAAATACTTGGGTTGAGTCTCTCGGGGAGGTGGTGCTTCTGATTGAGGTTTCATTGCACCTGAGAGCAGAAAGAAAGCACAATGGCTGATGTCATTCTCATTTTGAATGTCAATTAATGTCTGCCAGGACTTCCAGAGACCTTGTGAACTGCAGACTCACTAGTGGTGGGCAGTAGGGAGGCAGGTACTAAGTAGGGAAGCAGGGGTGAACTGAAGGAATGGTTGAAATGCAAAGATTCTCTAATTTTGTTTTCACACCGACGTGAAAAGCCCCTTTTAAAATGTGGAATGTGGGGAGGATTTTGCAACTGAAGATTGCTATTATGCCCCTAGAATTATTGGGAAATGCAGGTTGATGGCAACTCCCTACTCTTTTGAGTCTGTAAAGCAGCAGGTGCTGAAGGAAATAACTTAGAGACCCGGGTGGAAGTCCCCCTGATGTCCAGTTTTGCCTGCAGCCTCTCGGAACCACGACCACTTTTGCCACCAGAACTGGGACTACCAGCTGAAGTTGGCAGTCGCGTGGAACCGCGTGGACATTGCGCGGAGCGAGATATTTGCTGATGAGTGGCAGTGGAAGGTAAGGTTCTTGGGGCTACCTGAGAAGGCACTGCAGGACAGATGGCCTTGCCTTAGGACCAAGGGTAGACCCTAGAGGGCTCCTGTGTGAAGGTCCTAGCCCTCCCTTCCCAAAGTACTGGGTGACATGGGTAGGTTTCATTCTTGTAAAATCAAGATGACAGTAGCCTCCGTCTTGTGGGTCTTTGAGAGTCATAAAAGGTGATGACTAAGTCCCTCCATGGTGTCCTCTCTCAGCCTTCAGATCTGCACCCCATGATGTCTGCTGCTCTTATCTCCAACAAGCCTGACTTTGTGAAGCTCTTCCTGGAGAACGGGGTGCAGCTGAAGGAGTTTGTTACCTGGGACACCTTGCTTTATCTGTACAAGAACCTGGCGCCCTCCTGCTTGTTCCACTGCAAGCTCCAGAAGGTGCTGGCTGAGGAACCTGAGCGCCTGGCCTGTGCCCCCGCCTTGCCCTGCCTGCAGATGCACCACGTGGCTCAGGTGCTGCGGGAGCTGCTAGGAGACTTCACACAGCTACTCTACCCCCGACCCCGACACCTGCGGTCACTCACCAAGATCAACGTAGGTGCTAGTGACAGGCTCTGTGTCATCCCTGCCGAGCTGCATAAGGCAGGGGTGGAGCTTTTAGAAATGATTTATTCATCCATTCATCCACCCACCCATGCAGTCATCCATTTACCCATCCATTTATTTATTTGACTTTATCTTTTGAAACAGTGGAGTTTTTTTTTTCGTTGTTGTTGTAAGTTGCTATTGTGTTGGTCCCTAACTTATAGCAACACCAAGCACAATAGAATGAAACAGTGCCTGGTCCATCCCGAGGATTGGTTGCAGATGGACCATTTTGATCCATAGGACTTTTACTGGCTGATTTTTGGTAGTAGATAGCCAGGCCTTTCTTCCTAGTCCATCATAGTCTGGAAGCTCCGGTAAAACCTGCTTAGCATCATAGCAGCACACTTGTCTCTACTGACCAGCAGGTGGTGGCTGTGCTTGAGGTAATTGGCTGGTAATTGAACCCTGGTTTCTCACATATTGTTGTTAGTGCTGTTGAGTCAGTTCCAACTCATAGTGACCCTGTACAGGGTTTCTGAGGAGCAGCTGGTGGGTTTGAACCACTGACCTTGCGATTTGTAGTCCAGTGCTGATCCACAGGGTCACACCAGAAGTTTCCCACATGAAAGAGGAGGATCCCACCACTGAACCACCACAGCCCCATAGTCAGTTTAGATTTACAGGAAAACTGTGCACAAAGTAAAGAGAGTTCCCATGTACCTCTCTCCTTTCCCTGCAGATAGTTCCCCTTGTCATTAATCCCCTGCATGTGTGCTTATCACAACGATTGAGCCAATACTGATACTTTGTTACAACTAAAGTCCACAGTTCACATGAAGGCTCACTGTTTGTGTTGTCCAGTCCTAACATTTGACAAATGCTAATGTTATGTGCCCACCATTCCAGTAACATTCAGTACCGTTTCACTGCCCTAAAATTGCCCTGTGCTTCACCAAGCTTTTATTTTTCTTTTAGAATTAGCCTTGGTTTTCATTAGAAAATAAATATGCTCCCTTTTCTAAACAAGTTCAAATAGTACAAAACTTTTGCAGGGAAAATGGTCTTTTCACCCTGTACCCATCTCCTAGTCCTGCTCATTAGATGCCATTGTAGTGCCAGGTCAAGGATACCCCATGGTACCTGTGAGGTACACAGCTCATGCTCTGTGTAACAGGGGAGAGTGGATACTGTTACATATGATGCTGGCTTTTGCACCTGCATTTATATTGAAGAAGTACCCATCTTTTTCTAATTTATCAGATTTTTGTTTATTTTATTGACATTGTTTTTCTTTAATCAGCTTATTGAGATGTAATTTGCACCCCATACACTTGACCTATTTAACATGTAAAATTCAGTGGCTTTAGTATTTTTTGTATATTTGCAGGTTTGTGCAGCCATCTTCACAGTCTATTTTGGAACATTTTCATCACCTCAAAAGAGAAATCCTTGGGAAATGTAAACTGGTGCCAATGCTGTGGAAAACAGTTTGTCGGTTCCTTAGAAAGTTAAATATAGGATTACCAAAGAATCCAGTAATTCTGTTTCTAGGTATAGCCCCCAAAGAACTGAAAGCAAGGATTTAAACAGATCCTTATATACCAATGTTTATTGCTGCACTATTCCTAATAGCCAAAAAGGTGGAAATAATCCAAGTCTCCATCAATGGATGAATGGATCAACATGTGTACATGCAAACAATGGACTATTATTCAATCGTAAAACAAATGATGTTCTGATGCTACAACATGGATGAATCTTGAAAACATTATGCTGAGTGAAATAAGTCAGACACAAAAGGACAAACACTGTATGATCCTACTTAGATGAATTGTCTAGAATAGTTAAATGTGTAGAAACACGTTTATTAAGGTTGCCAGCATCTGGGGGCGGGGGCAGGAAGAATAGAGAGTTACTTTTTAAGTAGCCCTGGTGGTGCTGTGGAATTAATGTTGCATTACTAACCACAAGGTCAGAAGTTCAAACCCTCTAGTTGCTTCATGGGAGAAAGAGGCAGCTATCTGCTCCTGTAAAGATTTGCAGCCTCGGAAACCCTCTATAGGATTGCTATGAGTCCTGATGTGGAACTGTAGGATAAAGCACTAGACTGAAAGGTCAGTTTGAACCACAAGGTCGGCAGTTCAAACTTACCAGATGCTCCTTAGAAATCTAACACAGGACCGCTATGAGTTGGAACTGACTCGACAGCACTTAACAACGAGTCAGAATTGACTTGATGATAGTGTGTTTGTTTAATTTTTAAAGGAGTACAGAGTTTAGGGATGAAAAATTTTTGGAAATGGATAATGGTGATTGGCAGCACCGTCAAGGTGAATGTGATTAATACCATTGACTTGCACAGTTAAAAATGGTTAAAATGTCAAATTCTATGCTGCATATATATATATATAACTACAATAAAACTTAAAAAAAAAAAAAAAAAAAAAGACTGGCCTGAAAGGGTGTATATTGAATGATTAGCTCAACTCCAGAGAAACTGCTGGAGCAGACCCCAGATCCCCCATATCCTTGCTCTTCTCCAATTAATCCCATTAAAAAGAGAGAAAGCTGTACCCTCTAGCTATTCTTCCTCTCAGCCTTAAACAGCCACGAATCTGCTTTCTGTCTCTATCGATTTCCCTGTTCTGGGAATTTCATATAATCAGATTTTACAAAATAAAATGTCAGGGCTGAGTTTTGTCAGATGACTTTTGAGAAGATGAAACTGCTTTTCTTCTTTGAACTATGAATTTAATAGTGACCACAACAAGATCAGATCAGATCAGATAAGAATCCTGGTATGATGCTGTAGGATAAGCACTGGACTACAAGGTCACTGTGAACCACAAGGTTGGTGGTTCAAAACTTACCAGCCACTCTTTGGAAACTCTATACAAGGTTGCTATGAGTGGGAACCGACTTGATAGTACTTAACAAGAAGAAGAAGATCAGATTTTTTTTTCCTGATAGAGTATTACTGACCTCAGCCAGGTTTTTAAACAAGTCCTATGGCAAGCTATCCATTGACTAGTTTGGTACCTGATCCCTGAGGAAGATGTGGTTGAGGTTCAGTTTTATATATCCATAGTTTTACTCTTCCTGATTCCTGTTTGCCTACTGTCCTAGCTGGAATGTACCGAAGCTCAAATCAGAAGCTCACGCGCACACTTAACCTTATCTGGATAATTTAAGGTCACATACTTGGTGTGGTGCTATAGAATCAGCACTGGACTGACTGCTAACTGCAAGGCCAGTGGCTCAAACCCACCAGCTACTCCTCGGAAACCCTACACAGGGTTGCTATGAGTCAGAACTGACTTGACGACACTTAACAACAACTTTTAAAGAAGATAAGCCTTTAAGACATTTCTAAAATCACTTTAAGAAAGTTTGAGTGTGTGTGATGTGGGAAATATGTTCACTATCTATTGGGATCATTTCCAGACTGAGTACATGTTTGTTTATTCACTTGATTATCCAGAAAGTCTGGGTTGTGGTACAAATGGTGAACGTGCTAGGCCACTAACCAAGACACCTTGAAAGGAAGGCTTGCCAATCTACTTCCCCAAATCCATTCATTGAAACCCCTATGGAGGGACCCCATGGGATCACCATAAGTCCAGTTGAATCTACAGCAAGAAAAATATTTTAATTGGTACACACGATTATCTTGGGGTGCTTCTAACAATGCAGTCCCTAAGGCTAGACCTAGGGGGCATGGATTCTAGAAAGGTGTAGGTTAGGTTTACAGTTTGCATTTCTAACAACCCCCGGGGTTCTGGTGGGGGTGTTCCTGGTAGGGTTTTGATGTCTGCTGTCCTCCAGGCTCAGGGAGTGAGTCTCCGGTCCCTCTACAAGCGATCTCCAGGGCACGTCACATTCACCATAGATCCTGTCCGTGATTTGCTCATCTGGGCCATCATCCAGAACCGCCAGGAACTGGCAGAAATCATCTGGGCTCAGGTAATAAGAACCTGCTTTGCTGCAGACTTGGCTCTGGGCAGACTGGTGTTGGAAGGTGTGGTGGAGACCAGATGCTGGATAGCAGGCAGGAGTGGCTCATGGCCCTGGGGAGTGCAATGGATATCCTTAAACCCTAGGAAGGCCTCACCATGCCAAGGAACGTAAGTCTAGGTGACTGGTGGTGATTATGTGCCAGGGAGTCGGTTCCGACTCATATTGACCCTGTATAGTTGTAGGAAAATAATAAAACAAAAGAGAAAGTCTATCTCACAATTCTGCACTTGAGTCTGGGCATGGTTTATCTGGCAGACAGGAAGGCTTCAGGTATATGTTCCCACCAACCACACCATTCTAGTGAGTCTGAGAGTGCTGTGACCCACTATTCAGCAGGATAACAAACCCACCACCAGAGAGGCTGCACCTCTTCTTGACCACTGAGGATTCTGACAGAGACCACCTTCTGTGTCTGCTGGAATGTTCTTTGTCCTGAGTCCCCAGGTGTGCCCTCTGCCAGCCCCTTATGCAGCTTCCTCATTCATAGGTAGGAGAGATTTAAAAAGGAGCTGTTTGAGAAGAAAGGGAAGTCAGCCTCATTGGTCAAATATTCTGTACCTGTGGATTTGTGTACTTGCTAAAAGTTATTTGTGATAAAAAAAAATCAGTATTCACAGTACTTTTGCATTCTTGTGTAGACATTCACAGAGTGGTAAAAATTTGAGTTGTCTGATGCTAATGTGCCAGAACAATGTGACAGTACCTTTTTGTTTCAGTTTTCACACTCTAAACAAGGGGCTTTTTCACTGTCTGTTTAGTGCCATGCTTTCTGTGCATTTTATTGGTGATTTTGATGTTTAAAATGGCCCGATAAGCTGTCAAGTGATCCAAAGTGCAAGAAGGCTGTGATGGGTATTACGGAAAGAAATGTATGTGTTAGGGGAACTTTGTTCATGTACAAGTTATGACTCTTGGGTTCAATGTCATTGAATCAACAATGTATGTTAGACAAGGCGTCTTTAGATAGGAACACACATTAAAAAAGCTTCCCTATCATTTGGTTCATGAAAATGTGACCAGCACTTCATAGGACCTCCACCCTGTATTTATCCTGCAGCAGTGTGGCGCTGGACTGCAAGGTCAATTTGAATCAAAAGGTTGGCAGTTCATATTCACCAGCCACTTCTTAGAAATCCTACACAGGGTCATTATGATTTGGAACTGACTTGATGGCACTGAACAACAACAATGATTTATATTCACTAATGCAGTGATTGTAAAAGGAGCTCTGGTAGCGTAGTGGTTATGAATCGGGCTGCAAACCTTAAGGTCAGCAGTTCGAAACTACCAGCCACTCCGCGGGAGAAAGATTTACAGCCTCGGAAACCCTGTACAGGGTCGCTATGGGTCGGAACCGACTCGACGGCACTTAACAACAACAGCAAATGCAGTGATTGTAGTGACTTTATAGAACACAGCTACCTTAGGTAATGACAATCCACTGTACGTGTACAAGTTACTCTCCCTGTGGTTTTCCTTTAGTTGAAACTGATTCTTAGAAAGAAAAAGTAAGGTTGTTTCCTCCAAACGAGGGCTCCTGCTGGTTTTCTGTGTCTGTGTTTCCAAGTCACTTTCAAGGGATGGGCCCACTCTCCAGAGTCACTTGCAGGGAAGTGGAGTTAGTAGGGTCCCCCTTTTCTGAGGGTCTGTGATATCTGGGACTGTCCCAGGTTTACAGGGTGGGTCACTGGCAGAGCTGACTCTGACTCCACCCAAGGTTTGCTCCCTTGTACTCGCTGTGCTGCCAAGCGTGTGTTCCCAGGCTCTGACAGTCCTGCCCTCAGAATCTGGCCAGTGAGGCTCCTACCCAGCTCATACATCTAGGGGTCCATACTCTCAGGAAACTTCCTGGTGATGTTTGCAGTCCCTTTGGTGCCCAGGACTGATTGGGACCATCAATGTCACTGAGGCAGGCATCCTGAGGCCAGTCTGGGACTTGCGGTGGCCCAGTCCCTATTTTTACCCTTTGGGGTACTCTCTGACTCATGCTTGAGGTAGGCAAGACACAATGGAGTAATGGAAATTGTGCCTGCAGGGCCGTATTAAATCTTGTTCCAGGCAGGCAGCTTGCAAAGTGGACCATCCCGCTGAGCAACCTAGAAGGCAGGATAACCAGAAAGATGTGACATGCTGCTTTGCAGTGACCCAAATTGTTTATATAGCAAGGCTATAAAGAGTACTCACCTATCAGCTGGTACTGCCAGGGTCTTTGCTTCTGTTCCCCCTGGTAGTGTGCTGGGGTGCCCATGCTGGGTGGAGTCTGGTATGTATTCACTGTGGTCCCTGGTCCTCAGAGCCAGGATTGCATCACGGCAGCCTTGGGCTGCAGCAAGATCCTTAAGGAGCTGTCCAAGGAGGAGGAGGACACAGACTGCTCGGAGGAGATGCTATCGCTGGCCGAGGAGTATGAGATCAGAGCCATCGGTGAGTCCCACGGGCCAGCCTGGATCTTGATGGCATCTGGTCCCCCTCTCTGATGTGAGCCCCACATGGACCCAGGTCACGGTGCCATCCCTGCCCAACTGCCCTCTGGATCCTCCTCCTTGCGACTGGGTGCCTTAAACCCACTGTTGTTCTCTCTGGTAACCTTGCCCACTTATTCCTCTCCTGAGATGCCATCTGGAGGGGTTGCACCCTAACACTGTTCCAGGGCTTTGGGGTGGCCACCTGTGTTCTGATGTGTATCTCCCTGCTTCACCCAGGTGTCTTCACTGAGTGCTACCGGAAGGATGAGGAACGGGCTCAGAAGTTGCTCATCCGGGTGTCCGAGGCCTGGGGGAAGACCACCTGCCTGCAACTAGCTCTGGAAGCCAAGGACATGAAGTTCATGTCTCATGGAGGTGTCCAGGTGGCCAAGAGGGCCCATTCCCAAGACATGCTCCTGGGTTCTTCTGGGAGACCCAGCCCCTTAGCCGCAGACAACATACGTCTCAAATCTGTGACTATCTGATACTGTGGCAGGAGACTCACTAAGCAAAAAACAGTTGGTTAGTTGGACATGAAGGCTGATGTTCGCACCCAGATCACCAGGCAATTCTCCCTGGGGGGAGGTCTCAGGGAGCCAAGTGTCTGTCCCCTGCCTGCATTTAATGTGCATCCAGCCTCACTCTACAGAGAGGAGAGGGGTGGAGAATGTTTCTGGAGCAGCTGGATGCAGGGAACTTCTGGAGGAAACCACACTAGTATTGTCTGAGCAATAGTGGCAGAGCCTGGCATGTATCAAGTGCCTCTTCAGATGAGGTGTTTGCTGAGAGCATGGCTTCATGTCATCCCCTGTCTCCATTGAGAACCACCATGGGTACTGGTGAGCATCCCTGTCACTGCCCTGCAGATATTAATGAGGCCAGCTCTGAAAGCTCACTGCTTCAAACCACGAGTCCCTGAGAAACAGCATCCTTCAGGTGGAGATGGAGGAAAGATGGAATCTGGGGTCCAACCTTGGACACAGGGCCTAGCTGAGCCTCTCCCACTCACTGCGGGAGGTCTACCCAGCTTTGCCACCTTAAGACCATCCTTTAGTTCATAGGTGCTGATTTATAGACACCTGGCCTGTCTGCCTGCCTCGTGGTGTGGGGCTCAGGGAACACTGGGATTGTGTGTATGATGCAAGGTTAATATCACATGCACAGAGCAGACACATTTCTCTATCATGAAACCCATAAGCCAAGCCAGGCCTTGCTTTTGCCTGGCCACTACTCCTGGGAGGGCAGGGAGTGTGGGTGTGAGTGTGTTGGTTGGGGTGTCCCTGGCATGTGAGCGCTCTCCTGATGGTGCCCCTCTGTCTGTCTGTAGGGCTTCCTGACCAAGGTGTGGTGGGGTCAGCTCAGTGTGGACAACGGGCTGTGGCGGGTGATGCTGTGCATGCTGGCCTTCCCTCTGCTCTTCACTGGCCTCGTCTCCTTCAGGTGCTTGCTGGGCCGCAGGGCTGTGGGGAACTGGGGTGGCTGGGGTCCGGGAGCCTTGAGACTGTCCTCCAAACACCCTTGCTGGGAACAAGTAGCACGTGTCTACATGGTTGTGAGGAAATCCTGTAGCAGTGGAGATGCATGGGGTCAGGTTTCCGGAGGCAAGGAGCTCACGTGCTCACTGTGCACGGACCACCCAGCACTCACTGTGTACCCACTGTGCACCGGACACGCACAGTGCACAAGCATCCACTGTGCACTTAAAACCCACCAGCATCAAGCATCCACAATGCCCCAAGCACCCACCACACACCAAGCACCCATGATGACCCAAGCACCCACAGTGCATCAACCACCCACAGTGCCCTAAGAACTCAGCATGCCCCAAGTGCCCATGATGCACCAAGCACCATGTTTGTTATTTTGTGGGTGGAAGGACCTGGTCCCTAGTCTTTGAAGGTCAGTGTCATTATTCCATCCCTTGCTAACACCAAGGTGAGGAGGGCTGCTAGATGTAATGTGCTGGCCTTGACATGGCTCTGTGCCTACCATCAGCCTGCACAGAGCCAATAGCCCACTAGCACAGGGGCAGGTGGGAAACAGAGTCTCAGGGACCATAGGGAAGCCAGTCCACATTGCCCCTTGTGATCACTTTCCTGTCCCAGCCCCCACTTTGGGGGACATTTCCCTCTGACTACTCGACCCACCATGTACTTCCCTTGGAGCTGGTCTGGACCCCACAGGCGGAACTTGCATTCCTCTTGACAGATTACCCTATCGACAGATGTTGTTGTTGTTATGTGCCATGGAGTCGATTCTGACTCATAGTGACCCTGTACAGGGTTTCTGAGGCTATAAATCTTTACGGGAGCAGAAAGCCTCATCTTTCTCCCACTGAATAGCTGGTAGTTTCGAACTGCTGACCTTGTGGTTCACAGCCTGATTTGTAGCGTAGTGGTTATGAATCGGGCTGCAAACCGCAAGATCAGCAGTTCGAAACTACCAGCTGCTCTGCAGAAGAAAGATGAGGCAATCTGCTCCCGTAAAGATTTACAGCCTCGGAAACCCTGTTCAGGGTCGCTATGGGTCGAAACCGACTCGACGGCACTTAACAACAACAACAACAACGCTATTGACAGATAGAGGGCAAGTAATAGGGACTTGGTGCTGTGGCTGCTGTCCCCCTGCAGGTACCAGGAACATAGTGTTCAGAACTGGTATCCCCTTTGGGGGATGGAGCTTGGTGTCAGGGTCAGTGTACCCAGCTGGTAATAGGAGCGTGTTCTGGGCTGTGGACCTGGGCAGGGTTCTCACATGGCCCTATGCCTGTTGAGGTGGAGAAGCCCACAGCATAGGGACTGTGGAGACATTTGGTATCAGCTTCCACAGCTGGCAGGGACAGATGGCACCCCGCTAGCTGGGCCTGTCTCTGTCCTAGCTCCCGTGGGATTTCAGGAGGAGATTTCAGTTCCCACCAGTGTTCAGACTGGAACTGAAGTGTGGGTCAGACCAGTGAGCACTGTGGTAGAAAGCTGGCCATGACTGAGCCCTGTAGGCTATGACTCCTCCTCCCGTAGCAGGCAGTGGTCAACAGTGATGGGAGACTCAGTGTCTCAGTGTTCTCCTTAGGCTCAGGCTCATCAGCTGACCAGGCCGAGCGCTATCTCTTACATAGCACCCAGGGGCTCCATCTGAGTCCAGTGATCCTGGATTCCAGCCAAGCAACTAATGGTAGTCTCACCCCCATAGCCTCTTCTTGAAAGTGCCTGCCACCGTGGTGTGATGAGGGGCCAGGTGCCCATTAAACAGGCAGGGCATCTGCAATGAGATGGGCATGGGGTTCCTCACAGACGTAGGCAGTAGGTTGAGGCTCCAAAGACAGCTTACTCTGCCCACCATTCTGGAGAATGGCCTGGGATGTCATTATACATCATTTTATGTTTAAATCCTAAGCTATCTCTATATAATAATGGATTCCTCGTGTGTGTGGTGCTGTAGGATCAGCACTGGACTGTGAACCACAAGATTGGCAGTTCAAACCCACCAGCTGCTCCTGGGAAATCTTATACAGGGTTGTTATGAGTCAGAACCAACTTGATGGTACAACAACAACAACATACACTAATGAAGCAGGATTAGTGTGGGGTGTATTTTAAGACACAGACTTCTAAGAGGGGTCTGTGTGAAAGCAGAGTCCAGCTTCTACCTGCATTCTAGTGGCCCTTCCTTACAGTAGGCCCCTGGCTGAGTGTGGTCCTTGCTGCCGCCTTGTGAAAAAGGACTACCAGAACTGGGGCCCTATTTCTGGTGGGCAGTCAAGTTGGAGGGTCACCGTTTAGGACTATTGAAGATGGGACCTGGACCAAGTGAGGCCTTCATGCTGGGTTGGGGATCCTGGTGGGAGAAGGTGGCGGGCATTCATGGTTCAGGCAGGAAGGGTTCCCAAGTCACAGTCTCTGAGTGTCCCCAAAAGCAGTAGAGGGCATTGAGCCAGCAAAAGGCCTACAGGATCTGGCTCCATGCCCTTTTCTTCCCTGGTGTTTCTGTCCAGTCATCCCACCACTCAGGTATCAGCCCCATCCTGCTCCAGGTTCCACCCTGACTCCTTCCCCAGATGTGATCTTGCACTCTTCTTACCTCTGGCCAGCACCTGTCCCTAGAATATTCTGACTTCACAGCTAGTTTGGACAGTCTTACAATTTGGATATTTGACAGACCCATGAACCGACTCAGAAGGCTATCGCTTTCTTTTAATTGGTCCCCATGAGCACATATATATATATTTTTTTCCTTGTCTGGGCTAACCCCCCTTGTCCCTCTACTTTGTTGCTGCATATTGAGGAACAGTTCCTAGACAGACCAGACAGTATCCTGGCTTCTCCACTAACTGCAGTGTATGACCTACACTTCCCACCAGGTGGCGCCCTCCTCCCCATCATAGTCCCTGTAGCGTCCACCCTCTCTGTTCCCTGGCCTGCAGGACCAAGAGACTACAGTCTGAGAATGGATTTGCTCGGGTCCGCGCTTTCTTCAATGCACCCGTGGTCATTTTCCACCTCAATATCCTCTCCTACTTCGCTTTCCTGTGGCTCTTCGCCTATGTACTGATGGTGGACTTCCAGGCCTCGCCCTCCTGGCGTGAGTGTGTCATCTACTGCTGGCTCTTCTCTTTGGTGTGCGAGGAAACGCGGCAGGTGCGGCCCCACCTTCTGCCCTCCTAGAGCCCTTGGCCCAACAGCCCCGTTTCCCCCAACCAGGTGTTTTTCTTCCTCATGGAGACCCTTTGCCAAAGTCTATCCCCATGGAACCCCACACAGTCGTTAAGATGTGGGTGGCTGTGTGTGCCATCCTCACCCATGGCTCTCTTCCCCCAGCAAGAACGTGTGCTCCACTCGCTGCTTCTCCCCACCACACTCCTTACCCCATCTGGGACACTATGAGACCTGGGGTGTCTTCTTTCTCCTCTGAGCAGGGGATTCCCCCACTATGTGTCCTCAGTGCCAGTTCTTAGTGGCAGCTGATGGGCCTGACTGGGTTGTTGGGAGGCTTAGGGCTGGGTGGGGAGGGTGTGGTTGCCACCCCTTAGCTGCCTGTCGTCCCAGTAGCTCTTCTACGACCCTGATGGGTATGGGCTTCTGAAGATGGCCTCCTTGTACTTCAGTGATTTCTGGAATAAGCTGGACGTGGGAGCCATTCTGCTCTTCATAGCAGGGCTGACCTGCAGGTAAGGAGCCAAGAACCACCACTGTGCCCCAGAAGGTCTTACTGGTTCAGGGAGCAACCCCCAACCAGGACATGGGGAATCTCAGTCCTGCTGCCCTTTGTGAGGCCCCATTCTGACCCCCAACTTAGTACCTGTCCAGTGGGTGTACTAGGAAGGAGCAAAGGCAGGAAATGCCCAGGAGAGCTCCCTTCTGCCTCATGCAGGGTCATTGACATTGACCACTGGGCTTGCCCAGTGCATGGGGGCCTCATGACTCTCTTACTTCCCTTCCACTGGTGCCCAATGCGATGGCATTTCCCATTAAGACCGTATGTGTCTGTGATATCATGGTTTCTTGGTCAGGACTGACCATGAAGCAGGAGGGGCCAGACCAAGCTGCCTTGTTTCCTTGCTTGAGCCTGAGCTTCCAGAACTTTCTGAAGAAAAGCCCACTGTCCCTGGAGCTTTTGCTCCCTCAGTTTCATACCAGTTTTTAAAACATTGGGGTTAAAGTTTACCTAGATCCCATTTGCCTGGACCGGGCAGATGAACTGAGGGTTGGCCCTCAGGGCCCTCACAGACTCTGGAAACTACTCCCTGCTGCTTTAGGAACAAAGAGCTGAGGGGGTGTCTCTGCTTCTGCCCTCGGCTGCTAGGCTCATCCCAGCAACGCTATACACTGGACGAGTCATCCTCTCTCTGGACTTCATCATGTTCTGCCTCCGGCTGATGCACATCTTTACCGTCAGTAAAACGCTGGGGCCTAAGATAATCATCGTAAAGAGGATGGTAAGGGAATGAAGGAGGTTTGTCTGGGGCAGAGAAGGCCATGCTAGATGCAACGAGGTGGACAGAACTAAAGTACACCCCTTAGGTTCCCTTGCCCCTGACTTTGCCACAGGGACTCCCACTCCTTGTAATGTCCTTACCATATGTCCTAGGAGATATTTCCTACATGTGTTAAAGCTCCTGCAGCTTCCTTCCTTAGGCATGACTTTGTCTGACTCCTCCTGTACTTTGTGGGGTGCTCAGACCATAGAGGGTGTCAGCACACACCTGCTGTGCTCTGGAGGGTGACCTTGATTCAACCCCTGAGTTGCTGCTCAGCTTCATGTGTCTACACTGGCTTCTACAGTGACTTCTCCCACCATTGCTGAGCATAGTAGGTGGAGCCCACCATTGGACTGTTTGTGGGGTGGCTTTGGGAGCCAGCCCATGATAATGCCTGTCTCTGCAGATGAAGGATGTTTTCTTCTTCCTCTTCCTGTTGGCGGTGTGGGTCGTGTCCTTCGGGGTGGCCAAGCAGGCCATCCTCATCCACAACGAGAGACGGGTGGACTGGATCTTCCGAGGAGTTGTCTATCATTCCTATCTCACCATTTTCGGGCAGATCCCGGCCTACATCGACGGTAGGATGCTCGCACCTGACAATGGATAGGGGACATGGGCCAGGAGCTCAGAGTCTATTTGAAGGGGACTCCAGAAAGCAGAGAGTGAGTCAGAGGAGGAGGAGGAGGAGGAAGTAACCAAAGGGAATGATATTGAGTTCACTGCTGTCATACAAGGCTGGACTCCAGGGGCTCCTGAAAGGTCAGAATGACAGAGGAGCGGTTGCCACTTGGTCCATCAGCATTAACTTCAGGCCCTTCCAATGGCAGAAAGTGAAAGGTGCTATGTTACCTACTGAGTGGGGCAGATGTCAGCATATACCAAGCCTGATCTGTCCTCTGAAGCTGCCGCTGAGATCAGGTGTGGCCTGGGGCACCGGGCATCTGCTGACATCTCTCCTTGTCTCCTGGACTAGATGTCTCCTTGTTCCCCTTCTTCCTTTAGCCCTAGCCAGAAATAACTTCCGTCTTCTCTGGAAGGAGAGAACATTTTTTAATATAGTGAGTTGGGTTTCTTCTTAGCAGTGTTACCGAGATAACTTATATACCAAGAAGTTCGACCATGTAAATTGTACAATTCAGTGATTTGTAGTATATTCACAGAGTCGTGCAACCGTCACCATACTTGTAATCTAATTTTAGAATATTGTCATAATTCCAAAAAGATAACCTGTGTCCTTGAAGTCACTTCTTATCTTCCCCAAATCTCTTCCCCACCCACTTTTATTAGGGAACTACTTAGTCTGCTTTCTGTCTCTGTAAATCTGCCTTTTCTGGACATTTCATATAAAAAGAATCATATGATATATACTTTTTAAAAAATGAATGGCTTCTTTCATTTAACATAATGTTTTCAATGTTTATCCATGTTGTACCAAGATGTACTTCATTTCTTTTTGTAGCTGAATCATTTTCCATTGTGTGGATATATACCACGTTTTATTTATCCATATATCTGTTGATGGGCACGTACTTTGTTTTCACTTTTTGGCTATTATGATTAATGCTGCCATGAACATTTGTATGCGAGTTTTTGTGTCAGTATATGTTTCTTTAGATATTTGGGAGTGGAATTGTTGGCTCACATGGTAACCCTATGTATACCATTTTGAGGAACTGTTACAATGTTTTTTAAAGCAGTAGCACCATTTTACATTCCAACTAGCAGTAAGTAGTTGTTCGATGTCATAGATTTGTTTTCTTCTGATTGTTCCTCTAGCAGATGAAAATCGAGAGGTTTGTCTTCAAGCACAATAATTTGGCTTTCCAGTGATTTAATTCTACTTCTTTCTCGTTCTGTGCATTATCTATTTCTGAATCTTAGTATTAATCTTCTGGATTTCCATTTGCTATTTTTGTATGCTTTGCATTTTTTCCACTTATTTAGTCAACTTGTTCTTGTAGTGTTTTCCTAAATTCTTCTAAAGTTTTGTCTGTGTCTTCCTAAATTTCATCTGCAGTTTTTGCAATCATTCTATCAATCTGTTGAAGGGACCTAAATAGCATTTTTTCAAAAATTTTTATCAAGTAGTTCCGATACCATTTCTAGTATATTTTTAGGCTGTAGTGTGGCCACTTGTTTGAGGCACTCTGTCTTGTTTCTTAGTGTAAAGTGAAATTGTCTGTCATCTCTGAGACATTGTGCTGTCATTATTTTATATTTAATTGATAAGTGTGTGTTGATGTGTTCTTAGGCGCTCACCATCTGTCTCCTAATGAACATGATTAGAGACTGGAAGTGTGCACGCAGTTCTCTGTTCACTGTTAGTGTTGCATAGTTCAGGATGCACTTGTTTGATGTTGGCTGCTGATTGTTATTGATAAGGTGATACGGGACTGGGTAGTGGTGCTCCACCAGTGGGTGGAGCTGCAGGCGTACGGATGTGGCTGGACCGTATGGGCAAAATTGCTCTCTCCCCAAAACAAGCAACAACAGTCAAAGATCAAATGAGAAGAAATTCATGTTTTTCCTGACACAGGTATGGTACTCTAGTGCTTGACCCCAGGCAGAGGGATGGAACTGGTCAATAGGAAGGTGAAGGTGGGGACTGATCCTGCTCCCTGCTATCAGGAAGGAAGACCTGAAGCCCTCTTCAGCCAACCTCCAGCACATATACTGTACCTCTATCTAGGTCACTGTGTCAGTTGACATTTGTCCACAAAAGCTAAAGATGGCCTCACACAGTAGACTAGCCATTAGCCTGCCTGTCTGCCTCCTCTCTCACTGTTCCAGCTCAGTTTCCTCTCCCAGCCGGCATTCAACCCACCCCTGTATCCTAGCTTCTGAAGCTCAGGGTTCCAAGATAACCATCTGGTCTTTCATTTGGGCTCCCATGTCCTTGTTGCAGAAGGTCTGCTCTATGTATCTGCTTACTTTGCCACCTTGACCTAGAAGTCCCTCAAATTAGTAATACTTTAAAAAAACTCATGTCATCATGTAAATAGTGCAGGCTTATTGTTGAAAGATTTGAAAAATTCAAGGTAAATATAAAGAAAGATGTTATCCATAATTTCATCTCCCAGAGTTAACCACATACTCAGTATGTTTTCTTAGAGAATACAAGCTTATATTTTTATTATATTATATGATTTTTTAAAAAAGTTTTTATTGTGAATTGAATGAAAGTTTACAGGGCAGATCATCAGTTTTACATTCAACAAATCATATACTTTGTTACCTTACCATGATTATAATCCCCTCCATGTACCATCAGTTAACAGTATTTCTCTCTATTCACTTTAGCTATTTATTTATTTATTTTTTTTTTTAAAAACACTCAGGCATATATAACAATTTAAACCACCAAACGGCACATTCTGCAAGTCTGTCTCCTTGCTACCAGCTCTCAGTCCCTCTCTTTCCAAGAATCTAGAGCTGCCCCCTCTCTCTGTGTCGCTGCTTCTCTGGATAAGTTCTTGCATTTATTATATAATTTTACATGTCCTTTGCTTTTTGCAAAAATTAGATGATATTTTTGTAATCACCTGTTCCTCTTATTGCTGTAATTTTTCTGCACCATTTTTCCTTTTTCATGTGCCCTTCCCTTTACTGTCGTAATTTTTTTTTCCTTTAAGATCATTCTCTTTGAATTGACCTTCTCAGTCTTGGGACCTCTATGTTATTGGAGGTCACAGCCCTAGGCTCAGTCTGGTGGTGCCCATGTCTGGGGTCCAGGAAGGTCCTGGTGGAGGGATGGATGGACCTGGGCAAGGGTACGCCAGCCTGGAGTGCCATCTGGTTCCTGATTCTCACCTGGCAGCCACTTTCCTGTCTACAGAGAATGCTTATGCATAGAGCGATGCCTCTTCTTAGACTTTCTCTGAGCCCTAAACTGATCGTGGAGGTCACTCAGGTGCTCAGGTGTCCAGGTCTGTGGGCAACCTTGGATGACTGTGTGCATGTGTGTGTGTGGGGGGCTAGATGGATGGCCCTCCCAACTGGAACACTCTAAGAGTTCAGAGACATTGACAGTAATGCACTTGTGACTGTCTTGTGTTCTTTATTTACCTATCTTGCTACCAATGCCAGGAGTGAACTTCAACCCCGAGCAGTGCAGTCACGATGGCACAGACCCCTACAAGCCCAAGTGCCCAGAGAGTGATATGACCCGGCATGAACCTGCCTTCCCTGAGTGGCTGACGGTCATCCTGCTCTGCCTCTACCTGCTCTTCACCAACATCCTGCTGCTAAACCTCCTCATCGCCATGTTCAAGTGAGTCCCCTTCCCCATGCATGTTGGACTGGAACACGTGAGCAGGGTGGGACAGGCTTTCCTGGGGGCTGGGCCAGCTCCACTGTACTCCTGTAGTCAACCTTCATGTACAAGGTGGTGTTCCCTGAGCCTGGGAACCACCAGGAGCCATCTCCCTGACGCTGAAGCCAGAATGTGCAGGGGCAATGAACCAGTGTAACTGCTCTGTCAATTCTTACGGCAGAGATGTGTCCTGTTTACCCTCCTTTATGTGCTGTTTTCGGGGTGGCTGAGCATGGTAACCACAAGGCCAGTGGTTCAAACCCACCAGCTTCCCTGTAGGAGAAAGATGAAACTTTATGTTCCTGCAGTCTCAGAAACACTGTATGGGGTTGTTATGAGTTGGAATAGACTATATAGCTGAGGGTTTTTTGGTATCCACTTCCCCAAACCTCATATGCATGTGAAAGCTGGACAGTGAATAAGGAAGACTGTAGAAGAATTGATGCTTTTGAGTTATGGTGTTGGAGGAGAATATTAAAAGTGCCACGGACGGCCAAAAGAACCAATAGATCCGTTTTGGATGAAGTGCAGCCAGAGTGCTCCTTAGAAGCCAGGGTGGCCAAACTTCGTCTCTCATACTTTGGACATATTGTCAGGAGGGACCAGTTGCTGGAGAAAGAGATTATGTTAGGTAAATCATGTTTGGTCAGAGAAAAAGAGGAAGACCGCCAGAGAGATGGATTGGCCAAGTGGCAGCATCAGTGGGCTCAAGCGTGGCAACAATAGTGAGGTTGGCCCAGGATTGGACAGTGTTTCATTCTGTTGTGCATAGAGTCGCCATGACTCAGTGGCACCTAACAATAATAACGACAACAACAACAACAACTTCCCCAAACTTAGCCATTGAAAACCCTGTGGAGCACAGGTCTACTCTGAACCACAGGGTGTCAACATAAGTCAGAGTTGACTTCACAGCAACTGGTTTTCTGAATATTGAGAGGCTCTGAACATGCACTAACTTTCAGCTAATGAGACCAAAACAGGGTTGTGGGCAGGAGCTCCACCCGCAGCAATTAGAATAAGGAAGGCGATGTTTCTGGCCTGCCTAGCCCAGCTCCCTTCTGGACTTGGCTCTGCCATGGTTCATTAGCAAGAGGATGTTCCATGTGGTTAGAGTCTGCATGAAGCCTGCTGAAGATGCTGCCTGTTAACTCTGTCCTTCAACCAGATTCAACTGATTTTCTACTTAAATACCAGAAGAACATCTCTTTCTTAATAAACATCCTTTAAAAAAAATCCCCTAACACTTGGTACTGTGGGTTAATGCACTGGACTGCAAAGTCATTTGAACCACAAGGTTAGCAGTTTAAGCTCACTAGCCACTCCTCAGAAGCCCTACACAGGGTCACTATGGGTTGGAACCAACTCGGTGGCACTTAACAACAACAAACATGGTTGACAAAATTGAAAATTGATTTGCTCCTTACTTTTTCTCACTTTGGCTCCTAGGAAGCTCACAAATATTAAACTTCCTGGTCTAATGGTCTTTTTCTGTCTGGCCAATTGCCTTCCCATGTAGCTCTTTTTTACTTTTCTTTAATTATTGTGCATTGCATAGTGGTTACGAATCGGGCTGCGAACCACAAGGTCAGCAGTTTGAAACTGCCAGCTGTTCCGCGGGAGAAAGATGAGGCTTTCTGCTCCTGTAAAGATTTACAGCCTCGGAAACCCTGTACAGGGTCGCTATGAGTCAGAACCGACTCCACGGCACACAGCCAGACAGCCACAGATCGGGGGGGCAGTGGCATGGATGTGTTATATGTAAGAGCACTCATTAATCCCCTTGTTCTCAGTAACCAGACTCCCCTGTGCCCCTACCAGCTATACATTTCAGCAGGTCCAGGAGCACACAGACCAGATCTGGAAGTTCCAACGTCATGACCTGATTGAGGAGTACTACAGCCGGCCCCCGGCCCCACCACCCTTCATCCTCCTCTGCCACCTGCAGCTCCTGGTCAAAAGAGTCATCCTCAAGATCCCACCCAAGAAACACAAGCAGCTCAGTAAGCCGGGTATCCCATTGAACCCAGAGTGACCCCACTGTCCACCTTTGAGTGTCGAGGGGGCAGAAGTGGGCACAGTGGCCCCTATAGGATCGCGTCCACTCCCAAATTTTGCAGATCATGAAGGCCATCCCTCCATACCTATCTTTCAGCAACCATTGGAACGTGTCCAGCAGCCCTCTCAACTGGGTGGTGTGTAGACTTTTCCACCTGTTCAGAAATCCATTCTGTGCCTGGAGCACTCCTTATCACCCACTCAGACCCATGAGTCAGAGCCTCATCTGCCTCTCCCCCTTGCTCAGGGCCCCTCACATCACAGCCTTACCTGCGTTCTTCACATGGACTCCAGGTTTCCTGTTTGGTCTCCCCAATAGAAAACAAGCTTGAGAAAAATGAGGAGGCAGCTCTCTTGTCATGGGAGATCTACCTGAAAGAGAATTACCTGCACAATCAGCAGTACCAGCTACAGCAGAGGCCTGAGCAGAGGATCCAAGACATTGGCAATAAGTACGTGTCACACCTAGGAAGGTCAGGGTGGCAAATCTCAAAGTCAGGATCTGGGCCCCTCACTATCTGTGGCCCTCTGGGGAGCTGTGGGCTGTGCGGAGTACACGAATGTGAAAGGCCACCTGAGTCTTTACCTGGGAGCTCATACCTGGGGCTGATCCTCCTGACTCCCTATTAGAGTAGAAGACTGGAAGGGAAGTCTCAGGTGGGCTGGAGGAAAGGCAGGTATGGGAGATCTGGGAGGGTGTGCCCTTTGAGAGTTCAGGATTATTTTGAGGACAGCTCCTCTGGCCTGTGAGTTTCCTGGTAGCATGGCCTTGCTGTAGCTCTGTTGGGTCACTCAGCACCATCCTCCCCTGTCTCTGTTCCTCCTGTCCTGCATCTGTCCAGACTGCCAGGTCAGAGTTAGGGAGAAGACCTTTCTGTTTTCTCTCCCTGTAACTCCCACAGTCCCTGAACCATAGTAACATTAGCAGGGCCTTGACTTCCACAGCCGAGTAAGCCTGACTGTCTACGTTCATCTTACAGTGGGCCATGCCTCTCCTCACCCTGGGAGGAAGAAAGACCACCTAGTTATGGATAGTGCCTGGCTCCTGGCATGGACTGTTCTTTGCAACTGTGCTGGAGCTATGGTAGGGAATGACCAGAAACATGGGCTCCGGATCAGGCAAGCTGCTCTGCTCCTGGAAAAGGTCTCCTTGGAGATGGCCTTTCCATTCCTCCCTCATCCCTCCTCCCCCTCTGTGGAACAGAGACAGTGGTAGTATCCATAGATACTAGTGGACACTATCCATAGGTAGTATTGCATAGAGCTGTTTTGAGGATGGAGTGGGACCATCCAGTTGAGCACAGTGCTGAAGACATTCTCAGCATTCTGCAGTGAGTTTGAGGGCTTTGAGAACTAATCAGAGAAAGATATGACCACAAGATGACAGGTGCATATTGGGGCTGGTGCTTTGACAGAGGCTGCATGTGGGGGCAGTCCCTCACAGTAGAGACCCTCCAAAGGTAAGTGATATGGGGGCAAGGGGTGGAGATAGGAGGGCAAGAGGGCAGGGAAATCACCAGGAGGAGAAGGGGGAAGCAGAGGGGGGGACTTACATGTGTAGATGCTGTCCCTCGGCAGTCTCTGGGTCAGAGGGCTCTGAAGGGTGACAGCAGAGGAGTATGGGACCCTTATAACTACAGGCTTCGTATTATTTAAGGCTAGCAAATGTTGGGTGCAGTCTCATGGAGTATTTGAGGCTCTAAATGTCGAAACTTCTGCTGATTTGGGATATTTTAAAAATAGTTGAATGTGTAAAAAGCAATTGAATTTGGCACCAGTAGATTTTTTTTTTTGCTAACAAGTTCTAGCTTACCATGAAGAAATAGGCCACCTGGGGCCAATATACAGAGGCTGTCTTTGGCTTAGAGACAGAACGCACTCGGTAAGCAGTAGTTATTGTAGGTGTTGTTTTTGTTGTTGCTACTACATACTGATATGCTGATGATGGTGAGGAGCTAGCTGCTGGCCAGAACCTGTGCTATCTCAGATGTTGTGTGGTCCGGCAGGAGCACCCAGTTTGCTTAATTCTGGGCACAATGTCATCCAGCTGAGCCCTTGGTGCTCTCTCTGCGTGGGACAGTCTTCTTGAAGGTTGATACGGGACTGGTCCACTCACTTAGTTCAGGTGTTACTCCATGGGTGGGGCCTTCACTGCCTTCTAGCCACTTCGCCTCATACTCTTCCTTTTAAAAGTCTTAACACTCCCATGGGAAGTGTAGTGGCTCCATCCGATAAGCACTGGACTGTGAACCACAAGGTCCACAGTCTGAGCCTGGCAGTTGCTCCAGAGGAGAAAGGTGAAGCTTTCTACTTCCGTGAAGATTTAAAACCTCGGAAACCCTATATAGGGTGGCTATGAGTTGGAACCAACATGACGACACTTAACAAGAAGCACTCAAGGTCCACCTTCCCTCTCTAGGTGTGAGCTCTGTGAAAGCAGAGGCAAAATCCAGTGTGGTGTGTAGGTCTCTGGTATCTATACACAGAATTGCAGGTCTCCAGAGTTGCTCAACCCCGATACCCTCCTCTGATGATCACATCAGAGAAGAAGTGCCTGATGCCTTCTCCTCCCTGTTCTGGCCCAAGAATGATCATGGCTGATGGCACTGGTTAGCACCATTTGCTTTTAAATAGTAATCATGCCAGGTCCAGATGTCAGGGGAGAGCTGCTCTAGAATGTGCCAGAAAAGTGGGGTTGGGAGTCTGCATGTCAGGACACGCATTCACAGAGCCCAGACCTGGCAGGCCACAGCAGATGGATGACCACTATTGTGAGAGCGAGAACCTCCCTGTCTACAGCTTGCTGAGGGCCTCCTGTCTGGCAACCACATTGCCTGCATCTCTTCACCTAACCCTTCTCCACCCTTGAAAGGTAGGAATTGTAAATTTCCATTTTTGCCATTGAAGAAATGGGGACCCAGGACAGTTATAAAGTTTGGTGGCCTACTGGTCCCTGTAGGCAGTGCCATGAGTCTGATGACCCTGGTCTCCTGCCTTAAAAGTGCCTGAGTTCTAAAGAGTCAGCCCTAGATATCAACTCAGCTCACTTACTGTCCCAGTGGGGCTGCTGACAAGCCAGGAACCCAAGACTGGCAGGAGCTGCAAGGCTGGTCTGAATCCCCATTCTCAGTCCCGGTGTCCAGGGAAGCTGCTGGACTCCTGTTATTTCCAGAGGTAGAAAAGCTTAGTTAAAATGTAAATATTCTCCAGATGAGCCCAGAGAGCAAGTCTTAGCTGGGATGGTGACTGGTGCCAACACATCCTTCTCACTGATGAGTAGCTCTTGTACATGCACGTATAGGTCTTTAGTGTTTTGATAGACAAATTTTTCAAAGGGTACGATGATGAAAAAATGGTGAAAGGACATTGTGGTCATTATAGAGGCCCACTGGTCTGGATCTATTGAGGGACCTGTGGTTCAGAGGATGGTGGCATGAGGTGCCACTATGAGCCAGTATTGTGGCGGAACTGACCCCAGCTTCTTATCTCAGGGAAGGCTCTGCCCTTCTGGATCCCAGTGGTCATGCAGAGCATGGCCAGGTTTGTCGAATGGTGTGGGGTCAAATCTAGATAGCTTCCGCATCATATTGACTGAACTTACAGGAGTCTAAGTGTGCCCCTGCTTTCCAACAGCCACTGCAGCATCTTTGCAAGGCTAGCTGGGAAACCAAGGGGGAGCAGTTAGATGGCTTTGTGGCATTTAAGCATATGTAGTCTGTTGAAAGTAAAGTCCTTTCTTAAATTAGTTCTTACTTAAATTAGCATCTTCTCTTCCCCCTGATAACCGTAGAAAGTAGGTCACATCCCAGTTCAGCATTCCATGGTTACTAAAAGGGTTGTTGGGTTTGTTACAAAAGAATATCGCTTGGAGATGAGACTGTAAGGAGAAGACATAAAATAAATCCTGGGCCAAAGCAAAGAAGGGAGCTTTGAAACAGGTTTGACCACCTGATCATTTTAACTATAAAGACAGCCGGTCAAAGCTGGGTGAAATTCTTGTTTTAGCAAAATAATAAAAAAAAGCAGACATTCCTTAAATGACAACAACAACATGCCACTACCCCTCACCAAGCAAAGTCCCAGCTGTGCCTAGAAGGAGCTTTATCGTTGTGACTTAGATTTCCAAAGCTGGTGGTGTAACAGTCTGAGGGCTGGCCCAGGGAAGCCACACTTAGGTAGGTGTATGTTTCACACACCTGTAACTGTGAACTAGCCCCCACACACAATCATACATACACGCAATGCTTGTCATTTGTGGAGTCTATATTTGCTGGTTTATCTATTTGCTAAAATTTATGTGTGACCTGAAATTGTGGCACCTTTCGCCACCCTTCATGGACATGTGTAGAACAGCAGCAAATTGGAGTCATGTTCCCAGCTGAGGTTGAACAAGATGGTGCTCTGCCATCTTGCTTCAACTCTTGCACTCTGAACAAGTGTCTTTTACACGTTTGATCTCATGCCACAATTATAGCATTCTGTGCTTTTTGTTGGTGATTTCTCTGTTTAAAATGGTCCCCAACTGTAGTGCTGACATGCTGTCCGTTATTCGTAAGTGTAAGGAGGCTGTGATGTGCCTTACAGAGAAAATAATGTGTGTTAGATAAGCTTCCTTAAGGCACAAGTGAAAGTACTCTTGGCTAGGAGTTCAGTGTTAATGAATCAATAAGATAGGTTAGATCAAGTGCTTTAAAACAAAAAGCACACATACAAAAAACAAGATTCTGTATTGATTGTTGTTGTTGTTAGGTGCCATCGACTCGGTACGGACTCATAGTGACTTTATGCACAGCAGAACAAAACACTGCCCGATCCTGGACCAACCTCACTATCGTTGCCACTCGTGAGCCCATCGATGCTGCCACTTTGCCAATCCATCTCGCTGGGGGTCTTCCTCTTTTTCTCTGACCCTCCACCTTACTAAACATGATATCCTTCTCCAGAGACTGGTCCCTCCTGACAATATGTCTGAAGTATGAGAGATGAAGTTTGGTCATCCTGGCTGATGAATATGTTTCTTGCATTTTCCCTGGAGAAGTGGTCCAGTACTCAATAATTCTGTTGTTATTGTTAAGTGCTGTCGAGTTGGTTCCCATTCATAGTGATCCAGTATGGGGTTTCCGAGGAGCAGCTGGTGAATTTGAACCATCCGTCTTGTGGTTCAAACCAACTTTGCAATCCAGTGCATTGTCCTGCAGCATTATCTCCAGATAATTCCATTAGTGGTGACTTCATAGAACATGACGTTAGTTGTGGTTGGTTTGGCTCTGACTCATGTATAACAGAACAAAACGCTGCCTCGTCCTGTGCGTGATTATTGGTATGTTTGAAGCTGTCTTCTGGCACTATATTAGTTAATGTTTTATTACAATCCATAGAGTTTTCATTGGTTATTTTTCAAAAATAGATCAACAGGCCTGTCTTCCAAGTCTGTTTTAGCGTGGAAGCTCTGCTGAAATCTTTCCATCTTGGGTGACCCTGTTGATATTTTAAATATTGATTGGATAGCTTCCAAGATCATAACAACATATAAGTCACTACAGTATGACAAATTGACAGATGAGTGGTGGTTATAGAGTGCAGCTCCTGTAAATAACAAGAACTGACTGCACTCATCCATGAAGAGGCCTGTAGATCCCTGGATAAATCATTTGCTAAGCAATCTTTCCATGTCTACTTGATAGCTAAAATATATATTATCATTTACTTTCAAATTAAGAAGACTGGAATTGTAGGCAACACAGAACCTGAGTCTCTGGAACTGACCAGACCATCTGTAGAATGTCATTGTGTTTCTTAAACATCAAAGGGCCTCCTGGCCTGCCCTCGATGGACTCAGTTGTGACATTTTCTAGGGTGGACAGCATGGTGAACCTGTTGAATGTGGATCGAATCAAGAGGTCAGGCTCCATGGAGCAGAGACTAGCCTCCCTGGAGGAGCAGGTGGGTTGAAGTGAGGCCTTTGCTTTTGGGCCATGGGGTAGTAGGATAGAACATAACGGAGTAAAGGTTGGATGTCAGGGCAACCTTTCCCAATGGGAAGCAGCACCATTTGTCTTCCAGAAAATTTCTCCCCCAAGTCTCCTTAGCTGAGCTTCAGCACTTGGATTAACTGAGTCTAAAGGAGTCCTCAGATAGTGCAAATGGGTAAGGCACTCAGCTGCTAATCAAAAGTTTAGTGGTTCAAGTCCACCCAGAGATGCCTTAGAAGAAAAGCCTGGTGGTCTGTTCCCCAAAACTCAGCTATTAAAAATCCTAAGGAACACAATGTGGCTTCTGAATGCCCAGTTGAAGCCAGCATTGTCCCAGCCTTAGTGGCTGTAGATGAAGGTGCAGACTCCTGCTGCCACAGTGCAGGGGGCAGGGTCGACAGTGCTGGGAGGCACATTGCTGGGGCAAGTGCTGGCCAGGGAGCACAATCCAAGTGCTTAACTTGTCCAGTGTGCCCAGTTCCAGAGATAATCTGTACCTTATCAGTGGGAAGGGCTCTCAGACAGTTTGGTGGTCAATAACCAGCCCTCTTTAGGACATGGAACTCCCCAGGAAGTGAGCTGCCAGCCTCACCAGGAGTGTGCTTGGTGACCGAGGCTGACATTCACCAACTCTTTGAAATGCACCTTCCAGATGGCACAGACAGCCCGAACACTGCATTGGATCGTGCGGGCCTTGAGGGATGGCGGCTTCGGCTTGGAGTCAGATGCCCCTGTTCCAGGTGAATGGTGGTGGACTTAGGCCACAGTGCCATGTGCTTTGCAGTCTGGAATCTGTTGGGGTAGAGGCAATATGAGCTTGCTCTATGTATCCCAATACCTGTTCCCAGCCCAGCGGGGCTCCCCTAGATGTGCCTCTTGGGGACCTGGGCCTGCCCTCCAGATGCCCATACCTGGCCTCAAGCTGGTCCACTGCCCCATACCCCTCCTGTGTCATGGTGCTGAGGAGAGACAGCTCAGAAGAGAACTGAGCACTACCATGGAACAGCAGGAAGCAAAGTCCCTTTTCCTCCACATGCAGCTGATCCGGAAATGGAATGAGTGGCCTTCCGGAAATGCAACGACTGGCCCCAGAGGAGCCAATTTGGCCTCATTAAACAGCTGTGAGATCCACTCATGACAGGGACCTTAGCTTGTGGTGGCTACACTAGAGGCTGAGAGAACAGTGGTCCTGGCCACAGCAGCTGAAGGACAATAGCAAAACCTGGTCTTCCCATGGCCACAGTGGGGAGGCCACTGGGGGACTTGGGAGCCTGCATTGGACTCTAATTGGCCATCAGGGCCCAGGGAGATAGAGGAGCCTAGTGCTATGGGAGGTGAACACAGAGTATGCCTCTGTGCGGGGGAACCATTTGTCAGGCTTTGTGGCACTGTCACCAGCATCCTGGAAGGCCCCCGAGGAGCAGGACCACATGCCAGGTGGCAAGCAGAAGGCTGAGGATGGGGACGACCTCTACCATGTGAATGCCCGCCACCTCCTCTACCCCAGCTGCCCAGTTACACGCTTTCCTGTGCCCGATGAGAAGGTGCCCTGGGAGGTGAGCACTGTCCTAGGGGGAGGGCCAATGGCTGTCCCACCCCCAACAGCCATTGTTGTTGTTGTTAGGTGTCCTGGAGTCAGTTCTGACTCATAATGATCTTATTCACAACAGAAGGAAATACTGCCTGGTTCTACACCATCCTCACAATAGTTGTCATGTTTGTTAGGGGTCTTCCTCTTTTTCGCTGACCCTTAACTTTACCAAGCATGATGCCCTTTTCTGGGAATTGACTGATCCCTCCTGATAACATGAGTGTGAGAGATGAACTTCTAAGGAACTTTCTGGCCATGGGTGGATTTAATGACTGTGGCCTAATCGTGACGTCATGTGCTTTGATCAGTTCTTATGTGACAGATGACAAAACACAGGCACATAGAGGTCCAGTGACAGGATCACACAGTAGAGGTGGTGGACCTGGGGTTTGAGGCCAGAAGCCCGGCCCCAGAGCTGGCATTCTGGCTCATAGAACCACACAGAGCCCAGAGTTGCCCCAAGGCCTAACCTTTGCCCAGCAGTCCTGATCCACCCTCCCTGCCCAATTTCTGGGTTTCACCATCCACAGTGAACACTACCTGACCTCCTGTGTGGCAGGTGAGTATGCTGGAGAGATGCTTCCCCACCTCCCCATGCAACTATCTCTCTGACCTTTCCAGCACATACTGGGCTACTGTCTTTAGACCTTCTGGTGTTATACCTGTTCTTTTGCCTTAGTTGTCTTCTTTCACCCCCACTCTGGTCTCCTCAGTTGGACCTGCTCTCTTCTGTTAGCTCAACTCAAAGCTACAGTCCTGGCTACTAGCCCCCTCTGGACATCTCCAGGGACTGTGTGTGGCTCATACTTCTGATGAGATCCCTCTCCAGTTCTGCCCTTACATATGTGTAGGTGTGGGGTTGGTCTTGGGGACAGGCTGAAGACCTGACCTTGACTGTGGGCACTGTGAATTGAGGAGCTACCCTCTGACCCATCTGGAGTGTCTTGCCTGAGCTTTGGATGGAGGGTAAAAATCTGAGGGAAGCACCATGTTGTTTTGCTGCAGGCAGAGTTTGTGATCTATGATCCCCCATTCTACACGGCTGAGAGGAAGGACAAGACAGTTGTGGACCCCACAGGGAGGTGAGAGTGGGCTGCCTCCTCCTAATAATGTGAAAGGGAGAGATGGGGAGCAGCAGGATGGGGCCCTTCACAGAGTTGCCTGCTGTGGAATCTCACTCTGGGATCTGCTGGACTCTGGCTGGGACACCTATCCTTCCCAGGAACTCCAGACCCACTAAGAGGAGGGTAGTGGAGTGAGCTACAGTCTACTTTGTACATAACCTGTGGTTCCGAAACTCCACTCTGAGGGCCAGGCCCAGGGCCAGCCAGGTAGGCCACCTGGAGGCCTCAGAGTGGAGACTTGTGGTCCATCAGTTGGGTCTCTCCACATGTTCTCAAAGTACCAGTGCTTGGGGTCTGTTTGTCAGGGTATGGGGTTTCTCTCTGTTTCCAGCTCCCTGGAGCTGCTGACCAAGATCAGTTACAACACCGTGGATGGGTTGGTGGACCGCCGGAGCTTCCATGGTCCCTATGCAGTCTGCGATGGCCTTCCCTTGTGAGTGCAGCTGCCCATTGGGCATTCTTCTATCATGGTCTTGCCTGTGGCTCCCCCTAAGCCCAGCCCTCTGTGGGGCTTTGCCTCTGGGGATTTTCTCCTGGGGTCAGGTTTCTATATCCACTTGAAGTATTTGCTCAGCATCCCCACTCTGACCCACCCTTTACACTGTTCGCAGCAGATAGTTAGGGGAGAATGCCTTGAACCATGATTTACCCCTCACCCCTAATTAACCTTCTCAGACTTTGATTTGGACATCAGTACCATAGGAGTCCTGGTATGGCTGCCAGACTGCAAAGCCGTTAGAACTGCAAAGCTCACCAGCTTCTCCTTGGAAACCATATACAGGATCGCTAGGGTTGAAACCAACTCAACGGCACCCAACAACAACAACAACATAGAGCTGACTCTGCCCAATGACTCATTTGTGGTTGTTGAGCGTGGTTGAGTTGGTTCCAACTCACAGCGACCCTGTATAGGGTTTCCAAGGAGTGGCTGGTGGGTTTGAGCCACCGACCTTGTGGTTAGCAGTCTACTGCTAATCCTGCAGTGCCAAACCAGGAATCCCTAGTTCTATGAAAATGACAACAGTTCATTTGGTGAAAGTGCTGTTTCTGGTGAAGGGTGGCTCCAGAGGATGCATGGTTATTGCAATATTTAAGAGATGACCATGTATCCCCACCATCATGTTATCCATGTGTACCACCATTACAACTTACTTTACAGAGGAGGAGAGCCAAGCATGAAGGGGTCTGTGACTTATGAAAGTCACACCTAACTACCATTTGTTGAACCCTGCATATGCTAAATTCTGGGGTTCAGGGAGATGAAGGACCTTTCCCTTCCTGGGGCTGGTGGGAGGGACTGTCAAAACTCAGAGGAGGACAAGGTTGTCAGGAGCAGAGACCTGAATGGCAAGAGGGAGGGGAGGGTGGTGGGCCTTTTAGGGAATGCTCTGGAACAAGAAGTCCTAGTGGTATAAGCAGATGATGGAGCTAGATGTAGATAACCTTAACAGCAGTCAAGAATGGCTTTCACCCCAGACTTTTAGCTCCGGGTGGTAAGAAGTCATGGAGTGACACCATGGGGCAAAGTGGTGTTTAGGAAGGTGAATCTGGTCATGGTGTGAAGAATGATGAGGGGCAAGTGCAGAAAGAGAGAGCTGTAGGTGCTCAGGGCAGGAGCCTGGGCAGGAGTAATTAGGTAGTGAAAATCTGCTCTGACTGACAATTGATGTGAGATGTACAAGGCAATTGGATTTTAATAGAGTAAAAAATAGTTTTATACAACCATCATTTTTATATAATTTATGAATTGTGTTTTTATTATTCTCAGATATGCTTGTCTCTACTATAAAATAAAAAGACATACCTTGTTATTTTCTTTTCATAAATTATAAAATTAGTTGTTTTCATTTGGATCTTTAATAATCTTGAAGTTGCTTGTGTAAGAAGCAAAAAGAAGCATCATTAAGGTGGGGGGTCAGAGAAAAAGAGGAAGACCCCCAGCGAGATAGATTGGCAAAGTGGCAGCATCAATGGGCTCAAGGGTGGCAAACATTGTGAGATTGGCCCAGGACCTGGCCGTGTTTCGTTCAGTTGTGCATAGGGTTGCTATGAGTCGGTACTGACTTGGTGGCACCTAACAACAGCATCAACAACAATAATGAAACAGAAAATGTTCCGACAGCTCCCTCCATCTGAGGCCTGGTTTCTCCTCTGAGGCATCCTGAAGCCCTGAATGTATTTGCGTCTGTTTTGGTTCTCACAGCTCTGATCCACTCATCTCTGTACGAGATCATACCGCCTCATTTGCCACAATTATATAGTAAGCCCCAATTTCTGTTTAGGCATGTCATCAGCCTCCTCTTTCCTAGTCTTGCCCTCTAGGTTTTCTATGAGTTTTAAATGAAATTTAAACTAGTTCTATGGAATTCTCAATAGGATTTTTTTTTTTTAATTTTGCTTTTTATTGTAAATTGAATGAAGGTTTGTAATACATCAGCTTTATGTTCAATAAACCATAAACTTTCATGAATCTCAATGATTGCAAACTGCACCATGTAACAGTTTATCCCACTTCCTCCCTGTGTTTCTTATTTCCATTCCACCCAACTTCCCAACTCTTCTGAACTTTGTCCTTAAGTAAATGTTGCCCTTTTGATCTTGAATGGCTGACCATAACTTACCAGTGTTGTTGTCCCCTGGGGACACCATGGTCAATTAGCATAATGTAGACCACAAAGACAATGTTCTACATCCTGCTTGGTGAGTAGTGTCTGGGGTCTTGAGAGCTCATGAGCGGCCAGGTCTAGTAACTCATTGCTTCAATGTGTTCTTTAATGTCTAAGAAGTTTTCACCAGTTTGCCCCATCCCTGTATGCTCTCTTATAATCATAGATATGTTTGTAGCAAAGGTAAATACCCATGTACAAATATCCTTGTCAAACCCTTATATATTTCTGAGTATACTTCCACTCTCCTCCCAAATTTTCCTATAATTTGTGTTCTTGTACTATCTTTCTCTGTTTAGTGTAGTTATATCAATTCCGTAGAATAAGCTGGGTAATTTTTGTTTTTGAAACTGTTTCAATAAGGTAGAGATCACCTGTTCCTTCAAAGTTTGGTAATAACTATAAAACATTTCAGCCTATCAATTTTCCAGTAGGCAGATTTTCAACTATTTCACATTATGTAATTGCTTGTGGAATCAGCTTTCCTGTCTCTTAGGTCCCTTTTGATAATTGTGATTTTTCTAGAAAATGATTCATTTCAATGTAGCTTTTCAAGTTGTTTTGTAAATGTCCAAAATTTAAAAATTCAAATCATAGGTATATTGTTGTTAGGTGTCATCGAGTCGGTACTACTCATGGTGACCCTACGCACAACAGAATGTAACACTGCCCGATCCTGGGCCAACGTCTGCAATTGATGCTGCCACTGTGCCAATCTATTTCATTGGGGGAGGGGGCGATCTTCCTCTTTTTCTCTGACCCTCCACCTTACCAAATATGATATTCTTCTCCAGTGACTGATCCCTCCTGACAATATGTCTGAAGTATGAAAAGCAAAGTGTGCCCTTCCTGGCTTCCAAGGAGCACTCTGGCTGCACTTCTTCAAACACATATCTATTTGTTCTTTGTGCAGCCCTTGGTACTTCCAATATTCTCTTCCAACTCAAATGCATCAATTCTTCTATGATCTTTCTTCTTTCGCAGGCATATGAGGTTATTGAAAATACCATGGCTTGGGTCAGGTGCACCTTAGTCCTCAAGCTGACATCTTTGCTCTTCAACACTTTAAAAAGGTCTTGTGC